GCCTAGAAAGGTAGGCCACTCGAGTACTTTTACCTACGAAGGAAAACCACCCACGAAGGAAGCTTAAGCTATAAAAGGGGCAAAGTCCCATACACGAAGGAGGATGGACCTCTCGAGCACAGAATAAAAGAGAGAATATACATGCATGTAAATTGTAATAGTCCAAAGAGAAATGCAATACCTAAGTGGATGTAGCTCTTCATTTATAGAGTGAACCACTATAAATATCGTGTGTCCTCTCTTTCAAGCATTACACTCATGCTTACAAAATACAACAAACACTTCATAGCATAATTTTAAATATACAGTTAATTTTCAGCCGGTAACCCAACGGGATACCAGTGGGTAACCCGGCATATTTGTGTTGACAAAATTTAGCCGTCAACGGATAGTATTTTAATAAAAATTTAATGGTGATGAAAAATTTTAATAGGGTATATGAGTGGGGTTTTATTCATCTTTTCATTGTCAACGCATAGAAAAAAATCATCTCAATCAGGATTAAAATGAAAAAGTTATAGCATTTTTAATAATAGAAAAAACATTGTTCATTAATTTGAGTTTGAGTTTCTGAACTCGAGTTGAAGGGGAAATTTGGGGGCTATTCTTTTGCTGTTTTTGAGTTAGGTGACTTGAGTGTAGATTTTGAGTTGAGTTTGAGTTATAACTTGAGTTGAAGTTGTAACTTGAGTTTGTGTTTGGTTGTGTACATTTGAGTTATTGTTTGAGATAAAAATCTTTTTGAGTTTGTGTTTGAGTGAGTTAAAACTTGAATTTGTATTTAGATAGTATTTTAATACAAACTCAATGCTGATGGAAAATTTTGATAGGGTATATGGGTGGGATTTTATTCGTCTTTTCGTTGTCAACGCATAGAAAAAAAATCATCTCAATCAGAATTAAAACGAAAAAGTTATAGCATTTTTAAGAATAGAAAAAATATTGTTCATTAATTTGAGTTCGAGTTTCTGAACTTGAGTTGAAGGGGAAACTTGAACTGGAGTTTTAATCCCAAACTCGAGTTCAAACTTAAAAGAACATGAACTTGAATAAAGTTGTAACTCGAGTTGCTTTTTTTGAGTTTTTGACTCAAGAAAGGGGCTGCCGAACAGGCCCTTGAACTCGAGTTTTAGTTCCAAACTTGAGTTCAAACTTAAAAGAACATAAACTTGAATAAAGTTGGAACTCGAATTGCCTTTTTTTGAGTTTTTAGGCTGCCGAACACACCCTTAAATTTGTATTTAGATAGTATTTTAATAAAAACTCAACGGTGATGAAAAATTTTAATAGGATATATGAGTGGGGTTTTTGTTCATCTTTTTGTCGTGAATGCATAAATAAAAATCATCTTAATTAGAATTAAAACGAAAAAGTTATGACATTTTTAAGAATAGAAAAAATATTGTTCATTAACTTGAGTTTGAGTTTATGAACTATAGTTGAAGGGAAAACTTGAACTCGAGTTTAGCCCTAAACTCGAGTTCAAACTCAAATTTTACAAAAGAACATGAACTTAAATAAAATTGTAACTCGAATTCAAACTTTTTCTGAGTTTCGTTGCAAAAGAACAACCCTTAAAGGTGTTGACATAATTAGTTTTTGTAAAAGGAGTGTCTCCGTATTTTAATAAAATACGTGGGTGTCAATGTTAATGTCCAAAATAAATACATGTTCTCTTCTCTTCTATATGTAGTATAGATATATAGGATAGAGTATAGAGATTCTTAAATAAAATTACTTATGAAAACAAATTAAAAAAAAAGTAGTAGGCATGCACTTTGATTTAGGTGTGACTATGGCCTTCCATTCAAGAAAGTAGGGGGCTCAAAGCGCATCAACCCCTATCAATCGAGGGTTGAATAATCTAAGCATATGTTTATTTTATTAGTTTAGTTCAGCTCAATTTAGTTTGAACAGTGAGCACAGTTTGAACTGGAGTTTAGTAAGCATGTAGTTTGAATTATATTCCTCGTTTAAATTGAGTTAAACAACCAAACTTAGAGTGTTGCTTTCCCCTCAAGTTCAACAGTTCAAACTATTTTTGATTAGTAAAAAGGGTCCACTCTCTCTGCTTTTCACACCTACCAAACATAAACTCAAATTTTATTCTCTGTTCAAATTAAAACTTTAACTACACATTTAAACGTAAATTCAAACAACAATTTAATTAAACCACACAATTTGAATTATGTTCTCTTCTCTTCTATATGTAGCATAGATATATAACATAGAGTATAGAGATTCTTAAATAAAATTGCTTATGAAAACAAATAAAAAAAAAGTAGGCATGCACTTTGATTTAGGTGTGACTATAGGCTTCCATTTAGGAAAGTAGGGGGCTCAAAGCGGATCAACCCCTATCAATCGAGGGTTGAATAATCTAAGTCCATGTTTGTTTCACTAATTTAGTTCGGTTCAATTCAATTTGAACAGTGAATACAGTTTTAACTGGCGTTTGGTATGCATACAGTTTGAATTATATTCCCCGTTTGAACTGAGTTAAACAACCTAACTTAGAGTTTCGCTCCCCCCCTCAAGTTCAACAGTTCAAACTATTTTTGATCAGTAAAAAGAGTCCACTCTCTCTGCTTTTCACACCTACTAAACACAAATTAAATTTTATTCCCTGTTCAAATTAAAACTTTAACTACACATCCAAACATCAATTCAAACTACAATTTAAACCACACAATTTGAATTTTTTTGTTCAAATTAAAAAGTTTAAACCAATAAAATTTAAACTAGCGAACCAAACGAAGACTTTCTCATTACGAAAGCTAAAACATGTGTTTTGGATGAAACACTTAGGACCCGTTTACTTCGCTGATTCGAGTTTGTAATTCGAGTTGAGATGTGATTTTATGTGAGAGCTTTTTACTGTAGCAAAAAAGTTAGATGTGACTATTTCTGAGATCTTTTTACTGTAGCAAAACTCAAATTCTAAACTCGAATTGGTGAAATGAATGAGGCATTAATAGTAAATATTAGATTTTTAAAAATATACATTTGAATAAAGAAAACTTTAATAAGTTAATTAGTGGAAAAAGTATTTCTTTGGGTTATTGATAATATACTACTTTAGCCGCGTGAAAAAAATTTAAATAGGGACATATTTGAGATTTTTTTCAAATGATAAATTAGAGAAATTAAAAAATCTATTTTAATGAGAAACGTTTTAAAATACAAGGATTCAAAAAAGTAAAAAAAAAAAGTATTTATTATGGGCGCATTTGAGATAATAATATTTTAAAAGAATATATGAAAAATATTAACATGGGGATTTGTTTGACAAAACTATTTTAAATGGATAAATTACCGAAAAAATATTTTAGTAAGAAGCATTAATTTGGAAAAATAAAAAATACTTCGTAGATTCGAGTTTTCAATTCGAGCTGAGATGTGATATTTTCTGAAAGTTTTTCACTGTAGCAGAAAAAGTTAGATGTGACATTTTCTGAGAGCTTTTTACTGCAAAAATCTAAAACTGAAAACTCAAATCGGTGAAATGAACGAAGCCGAAATAAAAATATAAAACCAAAAGTCCAAGTAAGCAAGCAAGCAAGTTAAGGGGGGAAACAAAACTAGCGGAACAAGAGCTTTTAAGAGGTTAGTCTCCCTTGCCAAAAATTTGTGGAATGTAAAGCCAAGTTGGTGCACCAAATAAAGGAAATCCGTGGAAAAAATTGAAAAAAATAATAATTAGGCAATGTCTTTTTATTTGCTTATTTATTTATTTTTTTTTATGAAGGCATATTAGATAACCATTTTGTAAGAATTAACATAAATGCATAATCATTATCGACGATCCAGAAAATTGTCATAAAATGTGGTAATTAGATAATGGTATTTGTTGTCATTTAATATGCTGCCAAATAGAGATGAGCATTGGGCGGAATGAGTTTAGGTATGCTTCACTCACCCCCGGCCTTGCTTTCATCTTTGTCTCCGACATCCGCCCTCATACCGGCGTATTCGGGATAAGGAAATTTCTATTAGGATGCTTTCTTATACTTATCCATTTATTTAATAAAAAAAATATTGTGACAAATTAAATATAAAATTGATCAACAAAGCATCAATATTTTCCCGCTCCCGTCCCGCTTCTCATTTGGGGCACAATATAAACCCTAATGTCCTCTCTCATCTTCATTTAATAACTCCCACAACCGCCCTAATAAATGTGGGTACCCACACCTATGAGTAAAATGCTCATCAATTACTGTAAAAGTGCCATCTATGCGCTGTACACTCACATTTAGTCATTTTAAACCTGTTATTAAATATCGTAGACATACATTTACAGCATCGTAAACTACTTAACTCTGTAATTGATGATGATTTTTGTTTGTTGTTGTTTGAGAGAGAGAGAGAGAGAGAGAGAGATCCAGTCATAGTGATTGTTTCAGCGTTTACTTTGTCAACTGCGGTAAAGCAGTTGTGAAATGTGGACTGTGGAAAAACACTTTCAAAAGTGGGGCGAGTGTGAATATGTAAAGCTTTAAAAAGAAAGATGAATGAATGAATGAATAAAAGATGCGGTAAAGTACAAAGGAGGACAATATTGGAAAATTTCAAAAGTGGGACGAGTGTGAATATGTAAAGCTTAACTCATTGTAGCTTTGATAAGATTATAATTTCTCCGAACCATTCAATATTTAAGTATGCTTGACCAGCGAGCTATTTTCCTATTACTTTTGCTATTTGAAAAGTAGTAACTATATGTGAATAAAGTACATGATTGGAAGGGACTATTGACTACTTCAACTTAATAAACGACGGATTGGGACAGGAGTGGAAAACAGCAAACCTGTATCTCAGTCCGTATGGCGTACTTAACACGTATCTCAGTCCGTCAACTATATATATATATATATATATAGATATATATCGACTTCTAGAAAAAGAAATTTATGTATAGGTAATGACTTCTATGTCCCAGATCAATATTTCATAAAGAATAAACAGAAAAAGATGAAGGAAAAGAAGAATAATCTTGAGATTTGTTTCGCTCTTTATAATCGTAAGTAGTGATATCTCCATATCGGTTTTAGGATTAGATACATATGAGACATATATAAACAATTGATAATTGAACATGGAAGGTTGACGATTCTTGGGAAGAACCGGAAGAAATTATTTCCTTTATAAAAACACGTTACATTGCAGTGTGAAACGAAGAATTCTATGCATTTACTTCGTCAATTAACCATGGTATATGAACTAGTAATTTTCCTCACTAGCGAGGGTAGAGTTCAGAAATTGAAGCTTCATTTGCAGATGCTTGATTAACAGACTTGCTTTCCGAATGATCCGATTCCGTGGTCCTTGAATTGAATTCAGATGCCAATGCCATATCGGATCCAATGTTGCTATTCATAAAGAAAGCTGGTTCTGTGGGCACCGGGAGTGACAGAGAATTGCTGTTTAGCATAAGAACAACTGTATTCATTGTTGGCCTATGAGCTACATTTTCTTGGACACACAACAGTCCGATATGGATGTATCTCATTATTTCAGATACTGAATTAACCCTCACTAATGGGTCTATGATATTTGATGCAGTCCTATCCCTCCAGTTTCTCCACGCCTGCAACAACATTAGATGTTAGATATAAAATTCCTTTCATTCTTTTCTGCTGATTAGCTGGAAAATTCTTTTGATTCGATTGAAAATATATTAAAAAAATCTTGCATTTTACGCGGAACTACAATCTAACTTGTACTCACATAGCTTAAGAGGTCTTCAACATGTTCTCCATGACGGAAACAATTATTTTTCTGTCCGCTCACTATCTCCAAAAGTAACACACCAAAACTAAATACATCGGTCCTGACCGAAAAATGTCCATGCATTGCGTATTCTGGAGCCATATATCCACTGAAACAGAGAACATTTCAGTAATTATATTTGAGTGAGATTTAAAGTAGAAACTAAGAACTATTATATGGTTGAATATTCATTTTTCTTTTCTGCAGGGCAACATCATTGGTATAAACTAAGATTTAGCCAAGGTTGGCATGTACTTACTAGGTTCCCACAATTCTATTTGTATTGCCCTGAGTTTGATCAACAACAAACAACCTAGCCATTCCAAAATCCGAAATCTTTGGGTGCATTTCTTTATCCAACAAAATGTTACTAGCCTTGAGATCTCGGTGGATAACTCTTAGACGTGAATCTTCGTGAAGGTAAAGGAGCCCTCGAGCAATGCCTCCTATAATTTTGTAGCGCCTCTCCCAATCTAAGTTTGCACGCTTGCTTGGATCTACATAGATGTGTACAATTCAGTAAAACCTTTAAAGCACGAATACGCATTACAGAGTACTTTTTCAAGAAATGAAATAAAACTGAAGCATAGTGTATTATATATATATTTAAGAGATTCCTATAAAAACAGAAGTGGATAAATGGAACCATACCAAATATGAAATGATCGAGACTTGCATTTGGAACAAACTCATACACAAGAAGCCTTTCACTTCCCTCCAAGCAGAAACCGAGGAGCCTTACTAGATTACGGTGTTGAAGCTTTGCAACTAGTAAAACCTCATTCTTGAATTCCAAATCTCCTTGATTTGAATTCCTAGACAATCTTTTCACAGCTATGTCTTGTCCATTGGGAAGCTTTCCCTGAATTACATCACAAAAATATGAAGAAACAATGATATGAATTGCGCCCAATCAATTTTAATTTAACAGTGCTTGTGTACAAGCGAGATAAAAACAAAACAAAAAAAAAAAAAAAACAAAAATTACGTACTCGTTACTCATTCAAACAAAGAACTTTATTATTACCCTATAAACAGAGCCAAATCCGCCCTGTCCAAGCTTATTTGCCTCTGAAAAATTATCTGTCGCAACTCTAGTAGTTTCGAAACTGTATTGCAAGGATTCCACACTTTCGATTTCTTCCACAGGTTCGTTCACGGGGTGAGCTTCAAAAATATAAATCAAATTAGTTACTTCTTTAGAAGGGATTGCAAATTCATTTCAAAAGACGTACTGTGAGTCTGTATATGCAGCATGATCTGTGATGAAGAATACAAATTACAATTCAGAAGTGCATTAGATTATATCTCAACATACTTTGATCGATTTTCCTTGCCCCCCTTTTTTTCAAAAACACGCAGACGGAGATTATGAGCACCAGAGCTACAGCGGCACTCGAAACAACAGCAATAATAACAGTCGTTCTAGACGTGTTACTCTCGTTTCCTACAAAATCCAAAAAAAATCTGCTCTAATCAAATCATTAATTTAGGAGCTAAAATGATATCTATCATATCTAACAACATACCATATACCTTTCTAAATCAAAAGAAATTGATCCCAAAAGTATTCGTACCTCCTGTAGTTGTGGTTGCGTTAGTAGACGGAGGTGGAGATGAAGCAAGTGGTGCATCATCTGTCTGGTTATAAAAGAGCCTAATCTCATACCTAAAGTTACAATTGGTGCCAATGACTCTTCCCCCTATCTTGTTATCGCAACATGTTGGAATATCGTCAAACGCGTCATCCAAGCAATTGTTGCAGTCTTGCTTCGACAAGTCGGGCGTGCACTGAACGAGCGCATATAAGGTCTGAAAATCTGGAGCACTCGCATTCCCTGTCGCAAACTTGCGAAGAGAGCTGCCAGAGGCGGCTCGGTTTTTTAGACCATCCAATAAGGTCCTGAGGTCGGAGAAAAATTCATCCACATTGGAAGACACATTTTGGGTGTTCCAGAGATAGACTTTTAGAGAAGTCTCCATAACGCCGAACATGGAGCGGTTGGAATAGCGCAACATGCAGTAGTCATACCATCCGACCGCCTCCTTCTGATTGGGGCAATTCTGTGGGAGACGCTGCGTGGCGTTGTTGAGGCAACTGACGCAAACGTCGGGATTAGCATCTCCTCGGCACAGCCCGATTGCGTAAACTTGGTTGGAAGAATTGCCGTATGGGAGATAATAAAAGCCGTAGCCATTTCCGCCCTGCGAGGGAAGGATTGACAGGAGGTGGTTTAGGTTGGATTCATAGGTACTATTTCTGGGGTAATTGCCTTTGTGGTTTTCACAAAAGTGATACAGGAAGTCTGGCTGAGCAATGGCTTGGGTGATGAGGAGAATTTGAAAATGTATGAAAAATATAACTACTGAAGAAGAAGAAGAAAGTAGCCTTGCCATTGGTTGCTGATTCTGATATGGTGATATGTACTTGAAGTTCTTTTAAAGCGAGGCCAACTTGGAAATATGTTAGCTGAAATAATTAAATAGGATTACTAATTTATATTTTTTATTGCTGGAACATTAACAGCTCTTTCATCATGAAACCAAACAATAGGAACACGTGGAATAGAAATGTTTACATTTGAAGCATTTGATCGAGTAATGTTGAAAACATCAATATTGGAGCTTTAAAATGTTATCTTCCATCCAATAATTTCTTGGTATTTTCTTTTGTTACAATTGTTCTTTTCGCAATGCTAAGTGAGGTTCCGTATTGCTTTGCAAGGTTTGAATTGTACTTAAATTATAATAAAAAATATTTTTTAACATATTGATTGTGAAGGGACTGAAAAATAATATTATCTTTGAAATTTTGAAAGCGGTAGATTAGAACAGGAGAGGAAAAGGTCAATATTAAAAAATTAAAAATTTCACATTACCGTGGACCTCTCAATCAGTCATTAACCAACGCGCATTTTGTCAGTCATAAAAGAAGAATAAAGTCATTGATGATGGAGCAATAAATATAAGTAAATTTATAATTAAATTTCCTACCAAAAATATTTGGGATGTAAAGCCAAAATTAATGCCCGCCCCAGATATTAAAGATGTTAATAGTGTCGTGTCATGTCAACTCAGCTCACAATCGACTAAATCAGTGTTTTATGTTGTATTCAGCTTAACCTATTAAAATTTTGTATTGTGCTCATACCAGTCTAATATTGAAAATCACAAATACAACTAAGGCCATGAACCCAAACACATTCCGTGTTTTATGTTGTATTCAGCTTAACTTATTAAAATTTTGTATTGTGCTCATACCAGTTTAATATTGAAAATCACAAATACAACTAAGGCCATGAACCCAAACACATTCGTACTCATGCCCTGTCACGTTCGTGCTTGACACAATGGACATTACCAGCCAATTAGGGCATTCAGCCATTGTCTATTTAAAGAGGGTTTTGAAGAGTTTTCTTTCTTTTTTCTTTTTCTAAAGACTAAACATATATAATGCTGTAGGTAAAACTGTAGATGGGATTGTAAATACATAAGATAATTATAAGAATCACATATAAGCAAGCAATTAAAAAAAAAGATCCGTTGAGTTGAGATTTGAGAATATCAATTGTCAGATATACTTATGCCATGTTCATTTCACTTATTCGAGTTTAGAATTCGAGTTTTGTTACAGTAAAAAGTTCTAAAAAATAGTCACATCTAACTTTTTTGCTATAGTAAAAAGTTCTCACATAAAGTCACATCTTATAATGACTGAGAAAATTCCAAACATTAAATAATACAATTCATGTATTTTTAAGCCAAGGATTTTCTTAGAAAATATTATGTTATATTGTGAATGGAGGATTTATGGAATTAATATATGTATTCCTAAATTCTATAGCAAATTTCATGTTAAGTTCATGTTTCGATCAAGTAAATTCGATCGATAAATTCTCGCTGTATTTTAAGGCGGAATAATTTTCAGTACAAGCATAGTTTGAGAATCTTAATTTCAAGAATCTCTAAGCACAACATGATGTTAGCGCGCGTATAAAAAAAAACGCACTGGCATTTTAAAAGAAGAAAAAAATCCTTAATTGCTAGACAGTTAGGTTAAAGTCACAAGATAAATACCTATAGTAGATGGATACAATATGAGCTCGGGAGTTGACACTGTCAGAAACGTCATTCTTGGGATAGAATACAGAAAATTAAAATTTAGAATTTGTTCAGTCTAAAATTAATTTCAAGACTTGAAACAGTTTAAAATATTACGCGAGTAAGAATATGAAACAATATTGAATTATTCAGAAATTGATATTGGACTGTAAGTAGTAGATTAACTTACGTGAGCTAAACTAATTACCTCTAATAAGTATAAATTTAATCTGTTTAGAGGAAATAATTGAGGATAAGATCAGGCACGTAATCTTGCCTTAATCAGATACTTTATATAGTGAAATTTTTAGGGTTTTTGCACTTTCTTTCTCTTATTCTCGCTCATTCTCTCTCTCCTCTCACGTTCTCTCTCACACAAACCATCAATGGCCAAATACTCAAGTTAAGATTCCGACCTCCATTTTTGACACCGCCGGTGTCAATAGAAAGATCTCGACGAGCTGAGTTCAACGACATGCGGCACGACCTCCAACCCCGCCGGAATCAGCCGCAATCGCCGGCGGAAGTTCCGAAATTCCCATTTCTTCCCGTCGTGATATCTCCGCCATCCGACCTCCGATTGAGATGATTTCAGTCCCTATGGACTCAGTGCAGCGAGACGAAGAAAACCCATCCATTTTCACAGCTCGATTCTGGCTGGAGCAC